GTTGTTTCGGCGGCCCGCCGGCAGCGTCGAGGCGGCATTTCGCGCGTCGGCGCTGAAGAGCGGGCCGAGGAGTCTGGGGCCTGTGCGCCGAAAGAAGCGGACCAGGGAGCCTGGGGTTCGCGCCGAGTTCGTACGGCGGCGGAAAGAAGAGGGGGTTCGACGCGTACAGCCGGCAGGAGAGGGATGGCAGGCTTGGGTTCGACGCGCGCGGCGAGCCGCTGTCGGTGGCCAAGGTGTTTCATCACAGCGACGACGACGACGACGAGGGAGGCCATCACAAGGGCAGCGCAAGGGCCGAGGAGATGGCTGTGGCGCGGCCGACGCTGCGACTGTCGCAGATTCCGCCGGGTACCTCACCAGCGTTCATCAAGTCGCTGATACCGCCGTCGCTGACGGTCGAGGACGTCAAAATGGTACCCACGTCTGGTTCGTCAACCGAGAGGAAATGCACGGTTGCCGTTGTCACACTCTCGCAGGAGACCCCGGCTACAGAAATCGACGCAGTCGTCAGCTTGCTGCAGAACCGGTACTTGGGCTATGGCTTCTACCTGTCCCTCCATCGCCACCTGTCTTCGGCAGTCTCGTCCGTCGCGGCGCCGACCCTAGCCACCTCGTCAACAGGCTCCCAGCCGTTTGGCGCGAAACCCGTTGCGCAGCAAACAGGCCCCGGCAACGGTCCCTCCCAACAGACACATCGCGGTTTTGCCCCGCCGACATCCTACAACCAAATGGCCGGCACGGCAGTCAACAGGAACAGCATCCTTCACGTCCCCGTAACGCCGCCGCACGACGTCAAGACGCTCCAGCTCATCAACAAGACGCTCGAATCAGTCCTGGAACACGGGCCGGAGTTTGAGGCGCTGCTGATGACGCGAGCCGAGGTCCAGCGTGAGGAGAAATGGGCCTGGCTGTGGGACGCCAGGAGCGTGGGTGGCGTGTGGTACCGTTGGCGGCTCTGGGAAATCGTGACGGGCGCCTTGTCGAGCGGCAGCAAAGGGCGCTATCTACCTCTTTTTGACGGTAGCCATGCGTGGAAGGCGCCGGAGAAGAAGTTACCGTTCGAGTACACGACGCACATTGACGAGTTCATCTCGGACTCAGAGTACAACTCGTCCGACGATGAGGACATGGATGGCGAGGCCAACCGCGAGGCAAACGCAGGCGCCGAGGTTGAAAACACTTTTCTGAACCCCCTCGACAAAGCCAAGCTCACCCACCTCCTGTCACGACTACCAACGACGCTATCGAGAATACGCAAGGGGGACATTGCACGCATCACAGCTTTTGCTCTGACACATGCCAGCCGTGGCGCCGATGAGGCTGTCGCCATGATTGCCGCAAACATCAACAAACCATTGGCTCTCACCGCCGCCAACCCGACTCTGTCAAGAGACGAAAGAGACAAGAGCAAACAGCGCGACGGCTCGGACCAATCCGACGCGGAGCAAGATGGCAAGGCAGACAAGGAGAAGGAGAGTCAGGATACGAGTGGAGCCAGTCTTGTGGGTCTCTACGTGGTGAGCGACATTCTCTCATCGCCTCTACGAGCGGAATTCGACACGCGTGGCGATTCCGACAGCACTTCGAGGGAGCGCTCAAGGATGCCAGGGTGTTCGAAAAGCTGGGCCTCATGGCCGACCAGCGCCGCTGGGGTCGACTCAAGGCAGACAAATGGAAACGCAGTGTGGGCATGATCCTCAGCCTTTGGGAGGGCTGGTGTGTCTTCCCTGCCGAGAGCCAGGCGTTCTTCACGAACACGTTTGAGAACCCGCCGTCGCTCAAGGCCCAGGCTTCTGCGGACGAGGGTCTGAAGAAGGGCAAGTGGAAGGTTGTCGAGGCGTCTACACTGGCCAGCATCGACACGCTGCTGAGGGA